AGAAAAAATAAATAAATAAAAGGAAAAATACTCTTGATGTCCTTAGTTATTGTCTTAACCAATAACTTGCCATTTATCAAGAATTACCGACTAAGCTTTCATCAGACTGGCACATCTGGTTGGCTGATCGGAGGATCAACTAGGTAACGTTAATAGTCCCTAGAAACCTATATTCGGTTGAGCCATCTCGCTACCGAAGTATTCAGATATAAATAGAGTTGGAAAGTAAATATAGTTCTATTAATAGAACTAGACCAACTCTTATGTTTGGTATTTTACTGGGGCCTATTAATGGCCTCGTCCAGATATCTGATATGTAAAATGGAAAAGGTATTAATTAATAAAACCATTAAAACCCATTTAGGAAACTTAAGTTCCTCGAACTATTAAGAGTACGTTTATAATTTACGTTCTGCTTAAGAGTACGTTTATAACATAGAGTCTAATATGGAGGCCCGGCTATTACATTACCGTCAATACCCCTCTCGAACTCTCCGCTCTCCTTGACAACACCTTGTCACGTGGCGTCAAACAGGCCCAAAAGTCTCCTGCTTGGCCGTGGTGGCGTGCAGCCATCGACAAACAACATGCGGCTCACATCGTAAACGGTCTTGCTGACATCGTACCGCTTGCTTTCGTGCCTGCTCACAGGAGAATCAATCATTTCAAGTAGTTTCTTACACGGAGGCACGACAAGAATGGCACACCCACCATATACAAGGCCAGAATGGTCGCCCGGGGTGATCAACAGGAATATGGCACTTCGTACCAGGAAACCTATGCAACGGCTGCATCCGCTACCACCCGGCGCACATTTCTGGCTTGCGCTGCTAGCCTCGGCTTAGACATCTTCCATTCCGACGTCGATACGGCCTACCTTTATTCGAAACTCGACACTCATAGTTTATGCATCCGCCTGCCGGCAGCGTCGAACTTGGTTACTACCCGGCTGCCTACGTCCTTAAACTTAAATGAGGCCTTTATGGCCTATACCAGAAAATTGTCTTTGGAATATAGATTTTGTATCTACATCATCCGTCTACAAATTTGAGCGCACGGCCGCCGACGAATCACACAGTATCCTACTTATGATTTATGTCGATGAAGTTGATCCAGCGGTCGTCCGTCATTCAGGCAGAGAGGGCTAGGGGTTCAGCTCTCTTAGCAACCAATATTCCATGAAAATCTGGGCCTTGCCCGACACTTGATGGTATTCTACATACGGCACTCCGTTACATTAGATCAAACCGCTTATATTGAGCACATGCTTACAATTTTTGACAAGCACGACGCTCTCCCGAAGTATACGCTTGGCGACGCCATTCACCCGGCCAGCCTCGATGCTTCTGCCTACACCGGTAAAGATTACCGAAAGATGCTCGACGTCTTCGGCCTCGCCACCAATATGACCATAGTGAACATTGCCGCCTGTCTTAACCAACTAACAGCTTTCACCACCCTGCCCAATGACCTCCCACTATGCTACCCGCGACTATGTGTTTGTGTACACGTCCTCTATGTCGTTCACCGATCCACTTGTTGCGTACACTGACAGCGGTTGAGGTGGTTGCCATGATAACCGACGTTCACAACCCGGCACCGTGCTCTGCTCCAACGGCACCTTCATCTTCTGGATATTCCAGAAGCATCACGCCGATCCACTCGTTGCTTTTACTGACAGCGATTGGGGTGGTTGCTATGATAACCGACGTTGACAGGTACCGTGCACTGCTTCAACGTTACTCCCATCTTCTGGAAATCACAGAAGCAGCGCACCACAGCCATCAGTTCGGCTAAAGCGGAATATGTCGCCTCATAAGAGACTGCTTGGAGCATAGCATGTGTTCGAAACATGCTCGTAGCCATGCACATCCTGCCTACCCAACCTACTATCTATGGAGGTCTGCAATCAAGGCCGCTCTGGAGGAACGCGGAAAGGACTTAAGCGCATCGCAATACGCTATGCGTATGTTTATGACCGCGTTCAGGATGGTCTACTTACTATCTCCTATATATTTACTAGTGCGAAATCGACCGATTTACTGACAAAATCTCTTGGTCGCAAAAAGCATAAGACTTATGCGAACTACACCTGCTTAATTTTCTAGGGGGTTTGTGTATGACTCATAGTCGACTTAGTTTCTACAAACCTACACTGTATTTTTCTGTACGCATAGATACTAGTTCGTAGATATTTTCATAATCACCTTATATACTGAATAATGTCACAACTTTGTACATTCACATAAGTTTTCTACATATCTTGGAGAAGGAAACACACAATTAAAAAGACATATAGACTTAATAGATGTTGTATCCGCCTATAATTTTATCGATGAGAATGTTCTCAATAAACTAAATAAATATATCTCCTACTAAATATTCGGGGCCACCGATTCATGGCCTTTGTGGCATGGGGGTCATTACTTTATCCGCTCAAATTGCAATACAAATTGATGTGTCTACAGTAGATTTTTTACATTTTTTTGTCTAATTTACCTTACGAGGCGTGTTTCCTCCCGTAATATGAAACCCAGTGCAGTTTACGCTGGGCGTCCTCATTTGACATAGACTATACCTTGTTCGTTATACCAGGGCTTGATTCTAGTCAAAGGTGTTTCCTCGGGACCCACTGCCGCCACTCAGGGCAAACTCTATCTACTTCGGACGAGAGGAGGGGTTGAACAGCTCAAAGCCAAGTCAGCGAAGTTGCAGGCGGCCACAAAGGCGAGCAAATTACAAGGCTTCCAAGCACCTCTAACGCGGTGTGAGGAAGCAATTACCTCTACCGTAGCAAACCACCTTCCCATGCCGGCGCAGGCCTATGGTACGCAGCCTATCCCATCGAAGACACTTCCCATGGTAGACCATCGTACCCGAGAGGTTGATGCGAGTTGCACGTACGAGGCTCCCTCCGCTAGCTCCGAAACCTGACACTACGACGATGACGTCTGTCGGTGCGGAGCTAAGCGGATACCCAAATCTCCATATCATTTAACGCCCTTATATTCGGGCGCAATCACCGACGAACGGGTGTTTTAACCACGTTATCTTGACATTATACATCATGTTGACCTTCCCCCGGATTGGAAGGACGGTTATGGGGCTGAGAATTAGGACTCTGAGTATGAGTTCAACGTCGACAGTGATGAGGACATGGATATAGGGCTCTAGCACATTCGTGCCGAAACAGGAAAGATAACAGCCGAAATAGGTGACCTTATTGCCCTCCTCCACTCTCTGGCCTATGACCCAGCTCAGCCAATGCGCTGCGGGTACCGACATAGTATCGGGTACCCATTAAAAAACCCCCTTGGAAGTAGTTTAAAAAAATACACGATAACTCATTTTAGGTCGAAGTTCTACCAGCACAGCCAATCATATTGTCGCTACCAACTACCCACATGAAATAATTCGACCGACCGAGCGAAACATTTAGACACCTCTTATATGTTACAATACAGTTAGAATAGTTTCTCATATTCTGTTTTTAAGAAATTGAATGTAACAGACCCGGCAATATTGTAATTGTCTATGAATGTTTATCAATCTGATTCACATGAATATCTTCTTTATTAATACTTTTTAAAGGCTGCTGTGTGTGTACAAAGGTTGATGCAGTGATTATTACTCGTGATTTTATATCCAATCAATGTATTTATTTTAAAAACCGAATTTGACAATAGTTGTTAAGTAAACCAGATATTACTCTGCTGAATCGCCGATATTCTCGGCGTTATGAAACTGTATTTTGAAAAACATGTTTTATCGAATCACAACGCGTAAGTGCCGTAAACCAGTTTAAATATGCTTCTTGTAAACTTGTCTGCGTAGAAAAAAACCGCTAACTTTCTTGACATCAGGTTTTAATAATTTGCATCGATTTACGATATGATCCGTGACATGAACCGTGCAAATCATGAAGATTGGTTATTTAGTAACAATTAAAGGAAGGCTTCAAGTGTTTATCTTATTTGATTTTGTCAATCATGTTCGAAGTTATCTCTCTCTTTGTCATACCATTTTCATTAGTGCCATAACCAAGCTCTCACTAAATTTAGTGATTAGTTCGAGAAATAAATTTATCGTTGCTCAGATGGAAACTCGTCGCGAAATAATAAAATTGTGTGAAGAGACGGAATAATACACGTTGGAATCCATCCTCTACATGGTATCAATAACAATGATTGAAGATCAAACGTGTTCGCTTTGTGCACGGTTGAGAATGTATATTGAATTGTTTTAATAAAGATCTATCCGTCACATGAAATTGCTCGTTTTGCCTCAGCTGAAAGCGGTTCCTAACCGCGTTCAGCATATATATCTAGGGTTGGCCTTGAAACTAGTTCACGTACAAAGCTGATTATTATAGAACATCTCGAACAAACAGCAGCTAGGTATTAAACTTGGGCAAATTGTAGTTAGAAGTGAATACCTTCATTTAAATGATGTCAACATTGCAGTGTGATTCTAAATGCATTTCTCGTACCAGTCCTTTAACTCACAGCCTGTGTCCTCATCTGCTCTTTAATTGTGATGAACTTGCATGTTCATCACAAACATAGTTTTTGTTTGACTTCTGCAGCTAAAACAATTTAACGGCACGTATGCATCTACAAGTATTTGCATTTCTCCCATAGAGCTGTAGTCATCGGGCAGTCGCATTGCAGCAAATAAAATATCAGCAAGCGGAACTACACGACTACCAGATAGTATCACAACGCATAAATAAACTCAAAATTAAAACACCTTGATATGGGAAAGATATGGATCGACTTTTCATGCAAATGTAAGAAAAGGGAGAAGAAAATAAAGGAAAATTTTGGTACTGAAGTTTCCATTTTTCCTAATATAATATACAAGTATTTCTAAAATAGTTTGATAATATATTCTACATACTTTATTTTTGATTAAGTTCTGACCTTCGCAAACATTTAAAATGCCTATTTATGGTTTAAATTCGGATAAGTTATATAAGGAAAACCGAATAAACAGACAATACAACCAATTTGATTTATAGCGTCGTATAGATATACAATTGCATCATCTCACTGAAAAAGTTTAAATCAGCTGATACTGGGTGTTATTAACATGACAAACCAGTGTATATATTTTTCAAGTATTTATTCCTGAAGTACAAAAGATATCGAAATTAAGCTCACCCACAATATGAGAGCCTCCACGAAACGGCTACAAACAATCATGTGGACTTTATGTCACACTCTGGTCAAAGAACACATGCGATAAAACAAAAGTGTGTTTCCTTTCCCCTTTGGATTTTCACGATACAGTGTAGGAATGTCCGAAATAGTTGCGACTGATAGTCAGAGTAGCAAAACACACGCTGTAAACAAAAGTACGGTTTCTCTTTCCTTCGCATTTTCACGATACAGAATGTGGATGTCCGTTATATAGTTGCGAGTTATAGTTAGAGTCGCAGAGCATATGCTGTATAACAAAAGTACGTTTTCACTTTCCTTTGCATTTTCACGATACAGAATATAGATGTCCGATATAGTTGCGAGTGATAGTCAGAGTCGCCGAACATATGCTGTATAACAAAAGTACGTTTTCACTCCCCCTTACATTTTCACGATACAGAGTATGTATGTCCTCAATAGTTGCGAGTGCTAGTCAGAGTCGCAGAATACATGATGTAAACAAAAAGTAGATATTTTTCTCCCTTTTGCACACTATAAATAGGGATGATTCATCGGTGAATAGTTTTAAAAACGATGTTCTCTGCTCAGTAAAATTTCTTTTGAAATTTTCTGTAGTGATGTAGTGAGAGAATTACCGTATATATAAACATAGCCTGCTGAAACCCTAAACCTTAAAATGATAAAAAACCGCTCACTCTCGCTCCGATATGGTTATAAAAAAGATGATTAGTATGATACAAAGATAAAAACGTTTGTAAGTATCACGATGGATTGATAAATGAAATGTTACAAAACTTGCGCTGAACCATGTTTTTGTTCGCTGTGGAAGGTTTGTATAATTTTTTATCGGTTTGTGAAGAAATTAAGATTTTACTAGCAGAGTCCCCTGGCTTATTCTATGACATTTAAATATGTTAAACTGTGAACGAACTAAGCCAACAAATTTCGAGGTCTTGGCCCAACACCCGATAAATAGATGCAATCTACTGCATGTACGAGCATGAGAATTGCTTGCCAGCACAAAATTCGTCTTTACATTTTGCTGAGATCGTGTATAGGCACACTTAATTCGTATACAAGCAGGTAGCTGAATGTTCAAAGCTCATAAATGTAAGAAAGGCCAAAGTTCGTTGAAAAGTGTGCTAGCGAACTTAAACAAATGTAAGATTATAAAAAAGTTTGAATGAGCCGTGCGATAGAACGCAAGGGCCCAAGGTTTTCATTTTTAATGAACGCTATCGAGGCACACTACCATATGGCTTCATGTACACCGGTCCTAGTTATATGCTTTCTCTAAATTGTCACGTTATAAAGCTGCCACTAATTAAGGGCTGTACGAGCTTACCAACAGTGAACAGGAGAATCACTATCAAATAATAATAGCCATATCGAATTTAATTGCGTCTGTAAACCTTGGTTAGATTTCTTTCCAGCTGCGAGATCTTCTGATGTGACTGTCTGTGTATGCGCCGATCTATGAACGCACGGCACCACAAGTTCGTAGCTTTCATATCACCTCTATATAGATTCAAGTGATCATCACAAAGCCAGAAGGCTCCTCCAGCATTATGCTTATATGCTTCCCGTTCACCGCAAATAAATCTACATATATGAGCGCGTCTATGTGCAATCACACAATCGTGTACGACTGAGACCCATCACCGGGATATAGAGGTGGCTTACTGATGCAATCGATATTTTACACCTCATAAGCGTCCGCAGCAAGGGAAGGTTCGTAGCTGAGAAGCTGTTCATTGTAGCAGGTACAAAAAAGAAGTAAGTTTGTAGATGATACAAGTGAAATTCATAAGCGTGAGCGTGAATTCGGCGTCGAATACACATCGAAATATACACCAACAACACGGAGACTGTCGGGCGTCAAAGAGCCCCTGAGACTAGTGTGACTAGCTTATACTTGTATATTACTGAATCAATATTGCGCGATACCGCATCCAGTTTACCGGGCTGTATCTGACAAAATGGGTTTTTTGATTAAGCACCGAGTGAGCTTTGGGCTTGCAGCACGGAAGTAGAGCTGTTTGTCGTATGTATAGGTACACAGTCAGTTCCACAGAACCTATGACCAGTTTGACAGTGTAGGTTCTTGCGAAATTACAAATAAAACGGACTATGGATAAAAACCTGACTCCTATATGACTCATAAGATCATGTCACTTTTGTACCTTAGAATATTTGCGCAGCAGATGATACCAGTAGCCGTGCACGTCCTCCATACGCAGATGATCTATAATGAATCGCTGTCCATTCTCCGCCACCACCTTCGCCAGTGCATCATATCGCTACCAGTAGGGGATATAGAATATTCATTGGCATGATCAAAAAGACCAATGGCTTGCATCATTATTCGGAAGAATGGTTCGAAACACTGAGAATCGATAGTTATGCCCAATACAATCTCGTAACATTAAAATGTACGCAATCCGGAGGCGAAAACACGTACACAATTGGTACTCATGTACCTACAGAATATGCGACATGCAATGAACTATTCAACCCAACGCACTGCAAATGATGGGCAACAATGTACAAAACCAGCAACATCTGAGTGGTACTTGAGTCGCGTGTCACGGTTGACCATAGACCTTTTGCATAGATTACGAATATATAGTCGAGGAGATACGTGGTGGATGCATAGGTATACTTATATAGATAGCAGATGAAGTTTGAAGAAGTAACGACATCAGGGCATTGGATACATGCGCCGTACAAACATCCCGTCATAGTTCATGCAGGACATACCATCGCCCACTCAATGAGCTGCTGGCCATCGGAGAAGTCTGGTTTGACGGGTATGTAGTGCACCCACGGCTGCATGCCAGGATAGAAGAACTCCAGCCAGTCGTCCTCGCCACTCAACACATGGAACACTAGTGACCCGCACAGGAACAAGTGCCGGAACCTGAAAGAAGCGGCAACCCCTGTATAATCATGTAGATGTTTGTTCAGGAAGAGAAATATAGAAAAATACAGAGTGCGCATATGTTCCTAGATAGTACACTGTCAACGAACCAATTGCAACCAATTGAAACCAGGCAAGGTGCAGTTGGTTATCGTGTACCGCCTTCACACACGAATACCCTTTTAAGTGCAATCAATCGTGTGCATATCAACACACGGGAAACAGTCAAATCTCCAACTGTCAAAGTGCTGGATAGCGATACTAGACGATACCGATTGAGTTATCGGGATACGATTCGAGGACACAGGCATGGCGATACTTGCAGCAGATTAATATATCCGGGGTATAACCATGTGCGACATCTGTCTATCACTTCATCACACACTAGCAATGTATTATAGATTCCGATCTGATCGTCTATCTCGAGGTACCTTACCTTTAAAATTAAATAAATACTTGAACTTGCAGTGATCGTCCAGCGATACGTCCTCTGCGGGTTCACGTCCTAAGGTGTCGGCAATTGACTTCCAGGCTTGATTTTTTACATACCCTGCCTGATTGCCAAGATTGAAAGCGACATATGAGTATTCCTCAGTGAATAAGTGACACACATATGTACGGCGCAGAATACATCCTCAATGATGCTATGACGCAGTCTGCGATTTGGTAAAGAATTTTAGTACAGTTTCACTCATGCATTTCACAGTACATTGATGCTACCGTGAATCCTATCAATAAAAAATTATGCATGTGAAGTAGCAATCAATTTGCAATCAAATGAGAATAGGGTTGACCGAAGGAGGCCAAATGTAATAGCATGCTGTGCTTAGGCATCACTCCAACACAACTTCTCAGCCTGGAGGGACCTTTGGAAAAAGTTTACAAAGTAGGAATACGAAAGAGGAGTTGCGCTAGATTTTTCTTTCCATAAACACAGATGCTGGTGATTTGGAGCTTGCAGAACGAGAAGTGCTAGATCCATGATCAAATTACTGCATGTCGCTACACACAAAACCCGTATCTGTAGATCTACACATACTCACCTGAAAATTTATACATTCAAACTTATGCGCTGCATGTATAGCTAGTACACCTGATTGAAAAAGTCATACAGTATCACACAACTTCTCGAAACACGGGCATATACGTGCCTCAAGATCAGCTTAACAGACAAGAAGATAGGACATATGAGCGTAGATATGCCTTATTTCTATTGAATAGAGCACACCTCCGCCAAGTACGGGTGTTCGCGCGACAAGAGAACCAACGGGTCTCTTTGGTTAGAGGTCCTGGATCCTCTGAAGAATGCCAGCTCAAGTTTTTCCACCCAAGGATATCTATCCGCCGATCGACTCATAGACTCGATCTTCAGGTCCCATCTGAGCAATATTACAGATGTATACAGATAGCTAAGCTGTCGAGTCCATTCATCGAATTGAGCTCATCGCAGTGAGAAGCGATATGACTGCAAATACCTGCGTGGAACGGATAAAATCCCGAGCTTTACATAGGCCGACTGCTCGATGAGATCCGGATCAACATGTGAGGTGCGCCGTGACCATCCGTACACAGTTCCGGCGCATCAGTTGAAATTTAGCATACTATACGTGTGAAAAGCCAATCCTGGTATAACCCACATACCACAATATAGTAACTCTTCATACATTGCTTCCATTGCCGCTACAATTGGAAGCATGTTCATTGGCATGTGTCACAGACAACACCCTGCGGGGAATTACACTACAGTTAAGCTCCATACCTCCCGAGACAGCCCGGTTCTGTTTTCACGCAAGGGCCTCCCTTGAAGAACGACCAATTGGGGTACATGATATCCAAGAACCGCGAATTGCGGCTGAAGGAGAATACTGGTAAAGCTACTTCTGATTGCGCAGTGATCATCGGATAGTCGCGTTCATTCAGCACAAACTCAACATTTGGCATAGGTCGCTCCTTGTGTGTATCCAGTACGGCATGCAACATATGCTCGACTCCATCACAACGCATCGAAAACACACACCGTTTCTGTAGATGACACAAATACAGTCGAGTAACTTAGAAACCAAATACATCAGCAAACCAACGTATATGCATGATGGTAGGTGATTCTTGCTTTTCTGGGCACCACACATCTACGATAAAACAGTAAAAGTACCAGTACCAGCTCTGTTTCTTAAACCCTAGAGAACGTGCCACAAACAGAGGGACATAATCAAATCTCAATGAACATTATTGATTGTCACTTCAAAGGTCATTCTATGAAAAGTACACAGCACACGAACGTACGTCTTCTGAGATGCCACCACTTCGATATAACTTGCCGTCAATTATTTGGTACAGAATTCCCAAGCGCGTGCTGGCCAAAGCGTTTTGTGTCGTCTCTTTGGTGATACTGCCATCTTCCCAATGTTTGAGGGAATCAGACAGTACTTGATCGTAACATGCAGTGTACTTGCCTTGGCAGCCAGTCCAATTTTTCTCGCCTTCCAGTACCTAGACGAGATTGGTAGCATTCGAATTAGGTGCGTTGGTATATATATATATATATAAAGATATATATAAAGATATAGATATATATATATACATATATATATATATATATATATATATTATATATATATATATATATATATATATATATATATATATATATATATCTAAAACACCCTAACAAAACTGTAAACAATAGAAAAACACATTTGTCAACGGAACCTATGTTTTAATGTACACACATCACACAACGGAACCTATGTTTTAATGTACACACATCACACACTCATAAATACACATAGAAAAGTATAAATATATACAATAGAAAACATATGCATACTTGGGATATGATATAGATATACATGCATAAACTACACACCCCCTTCCCCCACCACCCCG